AAGTGTTAAGCGAAATTTGAACGTTTTCAACCATGTTTTAAATCTGCGAAGCAAATTCATGATAATACCAGATTGTATAATCTGTGACACACTATTTTTAATGTTCCAAATCAAATTAAATCTATATACTACCTTCCAAATTGTAAATCAATTCCCTAAATCCAAACTGAATACAATTCATCCATAAGTAAGACTATCATTTTCAATCTCATAGAAATCAATTATACATTCACATTCAATATTTAAGTTCAATCATCACAAATTAACACACATACAACCACACAATCCAATTCCTTGCAATTTAAGCAATATGACCAAACTAATTTTATATTCAAGATCTTAAAGCCTAGAGTACTATGAAAAAGTTGAAGAATAACTAGTTTCCCTTATCTCAAACATAGTCTTTCCAAGCCAGAGAATCCTAAAACTCCTAAATTTCAAAAAGATAGATCCTACTCACATAAAATCTTAATTAACCACTTAAGTATACTACAAACTCCTATACTAGTCAAAATTTATCCTTTTCCAACAAAGTATACATGGAAGTCCCCAAAACCCACATGCAACCCTAACCCCCAATCCAAAAAAATGCTCTAAATTTGAAAAAAAAATTACTCTATTTGAAATTCTGATCAAGAAGAAATGATTTATATCCTAAGAATACTAAGATATACTTGAATTTAGAAAAGTAAGAGAAAAAGAGTGAAAAAGTTATAGAGAAAGTAGACAAAAAAAGTTATAGAGAAAGCAGACAAAAAAATTATAGAAATATCGTGATTTGGTGGGAATGAAATCTAACTAGTTAAACTTTTTTATTAGTTTAACTATTTATAATTTTTTTATACAGTTAAAATTTCAAACTTATTCTATTATATCACTCTAACTTTAACTTAAATTAGATTCTCATATTAACGAGAAAGTGATTCAGATTATACTAACGAAACTTCTATTAGATGAAGAAATAGAGGACAAGTTGGAGAGTATTTTGCTGAATGTACTAAAATTATGTGAAAAAAAATAATAACAAGAAAATAGTAACACTAGGTTTGATGTTGCAGGACACCAACAAATGCATATAATGAAAACTTTAAGAGCTATTGTAAATGAACAAAAATTGAAAAAAACAGTAAAAACTTCTAAATTTATTGTTTATTGTAATTAAGTAGAAGATTTTGACATATAACAACTATTACAACTATAATTTTCATATTATATAAGTAACAAATGATAATAGTTCAAAATAATAATTAATTTTTAATTTTCAATTATGAGTATAACAATGACAGTTCAAATCTGTTTAATATTTTTTGTAATCAGTGTCAAATAAGTACGTATAATAATGTGGAATACTATCCTAATCATCATATGTTATTATAATTTATTATTAGGATATATATATTTTTTACTTATTTTATTATAATTTATTTGTTTTAAAGCTTCGATATTTAATATTTACTCGTTACTTTTTTATCAGCCAATATTAATTGTTAATATATTAATTTTTGTTAATAAAAATATTTGAATTTATTATTATTTATCACTTATCTATTGAAGTTTGTGTGAGTTAGATTCTCAATTAAATTTAAATGAAAAAAAAATTGAATGAAAAAGTTGAATAGTACGTAATTGGAAAAAAACTTATGAATATATAATTTGAATGTTTTGATATTAGAAGGAACCATATTTAATAAAAAGATAGTGATCTTTCCCATTCTAAATTTTCCCACCAAGGCTTTTAATCTATATTCAACTTTAACAAATTAATCATTTGCGTTAGTTAGATAAATTATTCATGAACTTCAACTATGGAAAATCACTCAAAACTACCTTATTGCACCAACCAGAAACCAACCACTCATACTCAATTATGAATATGAGTTGTCTCACTTCGTTAGTTATTAATTCGACCTCAGCACAAATAACAAACATTTTCCCATTATGATAATACTTTCTTCATCTTTATACATTCTCTACAGACAAAATAATTTATATATCTAACATTTTTATTTGACCAAAAATACTTTACTGCCAGCAAACTTATCAACTGCTAGTATGAAGTCACTGATTTTATCATAACAGATAGGAATATATTTGAAGTCACTATTTTTATCATCATTCATTCTCTAATTAAACCACATTTCATGGCCTTTTATAGGCACGTGAAAGGGATCAGGAAGGGATGCTTGGAAGAGTTATTTGACATTTCCTAGGTTGTTTTGGGACATTTTGGGAAATAAGCAGAATCTGGTCTGTTGTGTATTGTGGCCCTGCCCAGGATCAGGTTCAACCAAGGTATAATTATATTTAAAAGGTTTTGGCAAATTAAAACAGAAGCAAAGGTTGTTTCCTGTTTGGATTCATTCACTGAACTGGACCCAAACTTAGATTCAACCCCCTTTTTAAACGAGGAAAGGAAAAACAAACAAAATGGTGTGGCAAATCTTATCCGTTCAAAATGGTTACGGTTTGGCTTTGGCACAGCACAGATTATACTTATCTGTAGTCAGGAGTCAAACAAAATAACATGCAACGATAGTCTTTGCCAAGCGCAAGTAACGTGAGGATAAGGCAGAAAGTAAACAATTGTTTCAGGCAATGATACAAGCACATGGTATATATATATATATATATATATATATATATATATATATATATATATATATATATATATATATATATATATATATATAAGTTGTAGAATTGAAGAAAACATGTCTAATAACCCCAAAATATACATATAGATATATATTTTGAATAAACAAAATACTCAAAATAAAAATCCCTCTAAAACAAAATAAATATACAAAAACTACATCGAAACAAAATAAAATAATAAACTATTATATAACTAGTTTTAGATTTATTAGTTATATCATAAAATAATAAACTATTCTATAACTAGTTTTAGATTTATTAGATATATCCCATGTAGTATTTACTGTTGTTTAAATATACTATCATTATAGTTTAAAATAATATAACACAAATACTCAAATGAGTTAGTATTTCAAATTTAATGTGAAAAATTTAAATATATTATAAACAATACACTTCAAAATTTAAGATTTTATAGATCACATCATACTAGATTTATTATCACATCACAATTTAATGATTTATTATCACATTACATAAATATTACATTAAATGATTTTCATATACTAGATATTAAATTAGATATCATAGAGTCATACTTCTTCCTTAAGGTGACACACTAGGTTTGATAATATTTTTTTCTAGTAATTCCACCACGTCATTCTTCAACATCACTAATTTAGCTGGAGCTCTGTACGGAGTCATTCACAATGATTATGTTCTTAGCACCAGGTCAATAACAAAATCTATATATCTTTTGAGAAGTAATCAAAACACTTCCCCAAGAAGAACATCTAGAAACTCTCTCATTACTAGTATATCACTTATTTGACTCACATCACAAATCTTCATTTGAGTCAAAATCACAAAGAAACTAGCTCTCATTTTCAACTCCCTCTAGGCTAGCTATGTAGACAACAACTCTCCTTGCAAAGGATCAAGGAACATGACCCTCTGTTGGCCACAATTTATGAGTATGCAATTAACTAATCAATTCATTTCCAAAATCACATCCAAGTCTTGAAAGGGTAGACAAATCAGGTTAACCTTGAATCTGTCTTTCAATCACTACCAAACACTTAACACACACTGAAGAAGTTAGCACCATCCTTGCAATTTTAACTCTCTCACCAACAAATCTAAAGCATTGATACAAATACTTAACACAAAGGGATGTATTGTTCGAAAATCAAACAGTACTCCAAGGTCTTTACTAACTATAAAACACACACCTTGAGTTGTCTGATCATGTTTCCTTTGCCTAGTCATTGCAAAAGCCCTCCTTGTTATTTGTGGTTTGTTATTCTCTTTCTTAACCTATTGAGAGCTACTAGGAGGAACTACTCCCCTATTGTCGTGACAATATCTAACTATATGTTTCGTCCATGACAATAACATCTCCATTTTTTTTAGGGCTTGTTGAGTATAATCCTTGATCAAGTGCGATCCACCACATTTAAAACATTCACTACAAGAAAAAACGCTATTAGCGACCGAAAAAATCGGTCGCTAATGGCCAAAAATCGGTCACTATTCTGTTAGCGACCGAAATTAGCGACTGAAATGGTTGGTCGCAAAAGGGCAAGTCGCTAATTTGTTAGCGACCGATTAAAATTTCGGTCGCTAAATAGCGACCGATGAGGTGGTCGCTAAAGTGGTCGCTAAATAATTTGGTCACTTATGCATTGAAGACCAAAATAGCTACCGAAAATAATATAATAAATCGGTCGCTAAATCGGTCGCTAAATCCAGTGGTAAAGTTTTAAAAAATAGCGATCGATATATTCGGTCGCTAATATATTAATATAATTATTTAAATAATAATTAAAATCGGTCGCTAAAATGGAGACAAAGTTAAAAATAATAGCGTGCGGATATAATCGGTCGCTAATATATTAATTGAATTATTTAAATAATAATTTAAATCGATCGCTAAATTTGAATTGTATATTATAATAAATTTGTAGCGACCAAAAATTCGATCGCTAATCTAACCAAATCTGAAAATTTTCGTTTAAAATTTTGTATATCCAATTTGACAAAATTTGTACCTGCTTAATTCATCCAAACATAACACAAATGAAAACTTAAGAACTAAAGTCAAATTATTCAAATCATAAAATTTGTACCTGCTTAATTCATCCAAACATAACACAAATGAAAACTTAAGAACTAAAGTCAAATTTTGTATATCCAATTTTACAAAATTTGTACGTGCTTAATTCATCCAAACATAACACAAATGAAACTTAAGAACTTAACAACTACTCAAGATTCAAAGTCTTAATATCATAAAATTGAAAATTAGTCCTCTGGTATATTGTCAGTGTCATATTGACTTGTAGTAGGAATTTTATGAAGGAAGCCAAGATCTATTAATTATTCTATTATAATAATAATCCTAATTAATAATTGAAGGTCATTCTTTGAGGAAGCCAAGATCTGTCTGATTCTGGATCAATGAAGGTGTGACTCAGAAACTGCTCAGCTCCTTCATTCTTCAATTCTCTGGCCCATTTCACTCTTTGGGATGGACAGAAACCCGGTCCAGAACACCTGCACTCTTATCAAATTACTCCAAACTTGTTCAACTCAATAAACAACAATTTTATACACTTTAGACCCTCTTTCACTTTGATGTTTTTATGAAATTATCAACAATTTTGCTGTCAGATCCATTGATTTAATGAGTATAAGAAGGCCTTGGTGATGATAACAATACTACAGAATGGAGTTAGAAATGATTGCCTGTATTCATAGAAGCAAGAAGTTCTTTCATTCTCAACTTTGCCCCAATTATTCCACCCTGCAGGCTTTATACATTGATCCATGAAAGTGAATGCAAAAACCACTCTTGCAAAAGGTCTCCATGGTCTTCCCAGATATGCATATGAAGTTCCCCCATTACCTGTGACAACACATCTGCAATGACACCACAAACAAAACATCATGTAAGGAACCAAAATGTTCACAACATAATAAAAGTACTTTACTTGTGTAGTATCCTTTCTTGGACTCGGAAGTTTAACAGATTAACACACCAAAGAAACACCGTAAAGGGAGAGGAGCAAAATATTGACAAGGAAGCATAGAGTAGTATGAGATTCAAAGATTTTTATTCTAAGATTTCTTACAGGATTCCTGAATTCATTGAATTTTCAAGGGATCATTTCCCTAGCTTCAAGAGAATCTGGTTCTTGTTTTAACCTAGAATGTTTTTTTCTAATTAAATACTCCTAAATCCGTGTTAGCCATGCTTCTAAACATTTACAAACCAAACTGCAAAACTTAAAAGCAAGATCATCTTCAAAACCAAGCATTCTCTCATTATCTTAATCAGTTTTCATAAACATGACTCGATCATGATGATAAACTTCAACCTAGGTACTTACTTGATTTCACATCGGAAGAACTAAGAGAGAACATATTTTGCCTTGGAATTGGAAAACAAAGTAAGAGTCACTAACACTCGTTGTATTGTAGGGGAAACAAGATGATTGGGAAATGTCTCTTTCCTTGTTAAACAAGTTACAATGACTAAAAAAAAATATTATGTGGGAAGATGATGTTGTAAGTATTAGGCATGATCACACACCTCAGGAATACATAACCTGTTTTTTCCTGTGGAGAGTTTCTGCTCTGTGCAGTTATAAACCCTGCGGACTTGCAATGGATGTGACAATGTTCCAAGAGTGCAGTACTATTACCAAAAATGAAGTCCACACTCCCTTCAATGTAACAATCTTTCAAGTATTGCTTTCCATAATATAAGTACAGTGTGTCCTGTACTAAACACAAAATAAGTTTATTTATCACCTTGGTACCTCAGATTTTCCTCAAATGAAACAGAAGGATAATGGTGTACAAAACCATCTAGCCTAACAATCATGGCCTCTTGTTAATTGAAGATCTTATTATGTTTACGCAACACACACTATAAAGGATACATCATGCACACATAACTTTCTAAAATCAAACTCAGAATAAAAATATGAAGACAGTGAAGCACCTGCCACCCAAGGAACCTGCAATTATAGAAAGCACAACGATCTGCTGTTACTCTGAGTGCCACTGCCTGCCCTGCACCCTGCTAGGTAAAAGAGGGAAACAAAAGAACAGTGTGCACAAGGTCTCTGCTAAAATTCCTTCATATTTTAAACATAACAATGGTGTTCATATTTTAAACAAAACAAAACAAGTTCCCAAATTGGTCTGTCAAGCACCACCAAATCCGCAGTAAGAGGGATCTCGAAGAACCTATCTACTTCACAAATCCACCTACAACAAACCATAAAGAAATTCTGTCAAAATTATCTCTCCTATATTATTCACAATGCAAGAGAATAACAGTATATACATTCAAACAAGTTAAACCTTGGTTGAGGGTGTCAGAGGCTGCGGAGGAGGTTAAGAACAGAGGTGTGGCGCGGTGGCTCACAGGGTGGCGTCCGGTTGACGAGGAGCTTTGGTGGAGGTTGGATTAGGGTGAGGGCTGACTTGGGGGGAGCAGTGAGGGGGCTAGGGCTCGCCGGGAGTGAGGAGGAGATACTGGCCAAGGTTAAGAGGAATGGGTGAGTCAGGCGCGAGAGTTAGGGTTATTTGGGGATAAGTGGCGCGAGATATGAAAGTGAAAAATGTGGTAGTATATGATAGCGGTTAAATCTTAACCGCTATTATAATATCACTTCTAATAGCGGTTAAATCTTAACCGCTATTATATAGCACTTCTAATAGTGGTTAAATATTAACTGCTATTATATATTTTCAAATATGATCGATCATTTGAAAATGTAATCGATCATAATAAAAAAATGTGGATGTCGCTCGAGCGAGATCAGTGTCACTCAAGCGAAAAACAACCCAAGAATGCCAATTTTGTGTAGGTGGCATCGCTCGAGCGAGACCATGTCGCTCAAGCGAAATACAACCCGAGAATGCCAATTTTGTGCAGGTAGCGTCGCTCGAGCGATGTTACTTTCGCTTGAGCGAATGTTGACCTACTAACCGTCGATCAAAGTTAGCCGGATAATGTAACATGGGTGACCTAATGTTTGAATCGGATGTCGCTCGAGCGAGTATAGTGTCGCTCAAGCGAAATACAACCCGAGACTTCACAATCTTAAAATCTGGTTGTATATGATAGCGGTTAACCCTTAACCGCTATCTAAATTATACTTTAGATATTAGATAGCGGTTAACGTGGAACCGCTATCATATCTTCTCAATTATGATCGATCATTTCTATTTATAATCGATCATAATGAAAACTTACATTAACTATTTTTTTAATATTATGTTTTTAAATTTGCTATTAGAGAAAACCTTTCAGTAATTCAAAATGTTAAATACTTTTAAATATTAAAATTAACTTTATCAAAAATTAGGAAAAAAAATTAATCCAAAAGAGTTCAAAAATGTATTATAATATTGTCAATTTTGAGTTTAATTATATTGTTCATTCTCAAAGTAGAAAAATATATTGTAATTATTTTAATTTAATAAAATATAATTTAAATTTTTAATACTAAAATTAAAAGATTAAATAATAATAAATTTAATTCTTTAAATTCAGTATTTAGAAACTAATATTATAGTTTCTCTGTTTTAAATAATTAAAATAAATATTTAAAAATAAAAATCAAAACTAGTATTATCTTAAATTTATTAAAAGTGTAATTAAATCTCTATTTTCTTAATTTTATTTGTTTCAAACTTCTCAATTCTACATTTTTGTAAGTTCTATCATTATATTATCATCCTCATCTCCTCCCATGTTCTACTTTATCTTTACAATAGTCAATATTCTTAAATAATTTATATTTTTAATTATAATTTTTTAGTATATATTTTAGAAATTAATCAATTCTAATCTATTATTTGAAAAACTAATCAATTCTAATCAATAATTTAGAAAACTAATCGATTATAATTAATTATTTGAAAAAATTATCAAATATGATCGATCATTTTGAAAATCTAATCGATCAGAATCAAAAAATCTGGTTGTATATGATAGCGGTTCCACTGGAACCGCTCTTAAAAGAGCACTTCTAATAGCGGTTAAACCTTAACCGCTATCTAACTATATTTTATTGATTTATTGATACATTTTTTCATCAAATATCGCTCGAGCGAGACTAGAGTCGCTCAAGCGAAATACAACCCGAGAATGCCAATTTTGTGCAGGGGGCGTTTCGCTCGAGCGAGACCAGTGTCGCTCAAGCGAAATACATTTTAGATAGCAGTTCCACAGGAACCGCTCTTAAAAGCGCACTTCTAATAGCGGTTAAACCTTAACCGCTATCTAAAATATATTTTAGATAGCGGTTAACCTGGAACCGCTATTATATCGTTTCAATTAAGATCGATCGTTTCAAAATATAATCGATCATAATGAAAACTTACATTAACTATTTTTTTGAATATTATGTTTTTAAATTTGCTATTAGAGAAAACCTTTCAGAATTCAAAATGTTAAATACTTTTAAATATTAAAATTAACTTTATCAAAAATTAGGAAAAAAATTTTAATCCAAAAGAGTTCAAAAATGTATTATAATATTGTCAATTTTGAGTTTAATAATATTATTCATTCTCAAAGTAGAAAAATATATTGTAATTATTTTAATTTAATAAAATATAATTTAATTTTTTAATACTAAAATTAAAAGATTTCTGTTGCATGAGGTTTCTTCACTTAAAAGATTTTGCAAAATGCCTCTAAAAATGTTTTTAACAATTAAAAACAAAGTATTTTGACAAAAGCTTTCTCAAACAAGTTTTTAACCGATACAACTTTGATAGAACCGATTAAAATTACTTAAAATGTCAAGTGAAATGTTTTTACAATATTTTAATCGATACAACTTGATTTTAATCGATTAAAACCACTTAAGGGTTCAGGATGATCGATCAGAATGCAATTATGACCGATCAGAATTTAGTTATGACTCGATCAGAACTCTTTTAATCGATTAAATCTCGTTTCAATCGATTAAAACAACTTAAAAATTTCTACACAGCGTTTTAATCGATTAAAACTTATTTTTATCAGTTAAAATAACTTGAAAAGTTTTACAAGAAAGTTTTGCAAGTATTTCAATCGATTGAATCGCTGAAACAATCGATTAAATCAACTTAGAAGATTTTTTGTAAAGTGTTTTAATTGATATAAACGTTGTCGTATCGGTTAAAACAAATCTGTTAAAGAATCAAGAACGTATTAATGGATTAAAAGAAGTTTTAACAGATTAAAACTGCACTTTTAACAGATTAAAAGAATCTTTTAACAAATTAATTAAACCAAGTAGTTTTGAAAATCTTCGATAAAAACAGTTTGGCTTGAACTTTTTTAACATACATTGAATATCATCTTTTACACATCCTTGAGCAATCAATCAAGCAAACTGCAAGCACTCTTTTCAAGAAAGATTCACATCAGCTTTTGAGAAGTTCTTTGAAAATCTTTCTTGAGGCAACTTGATTTCTTTTGAAGAAGAAACACTTACGCAGAATTGCATAAACTGGTTTGAGCATTCTAGTTTCTTCTTTTTCATTTCTTTACATTCTTTTTGTATTGTTTGGTGCCTGGAATTTGGGCACTTGGTTTCTCTCGTAGCTGGAATTTGGTTGTAGAGGTTATTAAGAGCTGGAATTTGGTAATACGTGAAAACATTTCAGAAAAAAATGTTAAATACTTTTAAATATTAAAATTGACTTTATAAAAAATTAGGAAAAAAAATTAATCAAAAAGAGTTCAAAAATGTATTATAATATTTTCAGTTTTAGTTTAATTATATTTTTCATTCTCAAAGTAGAAAAATATATTGTAATTATTTTAATTTAATAAAATATAATTTAAATTTTTAATACTAAAATTAAAAGATTAAATAATAATAAATTTAATTCTTTAAATTTAGTATTTAGAAACTAAAATTATAGTTTCTCTGTTTTAAAAAATTAAAATAAATATTTAAAAATACAAATCAAAACTATTATTATGTTAAATTTATTAAAAGTATAATTAAATCTCTATTTTCTTCAATTTTTTTAATATAAATTTTTAAAATATAATTTAATTTCAATTGAAATTTTCAATTGAAAAATAAATTCAAGAATATTTGTTATTAAACTTTTCTTAAACAATGTATTGAATAGTTAACATCACTCTAGTCTTAATTTATTACAATTTAAATTTTTAATAAATTTGATTTATTACAATTCATTTTGTTAATATTGAGACCAAAGTTTATTTTTAAAGTATATTTTAAAAATTAAATTATTTTTAAAAAATAAATTACTTTTAAAAAATAAATTGTAAAAAATATACTAAAACAATTAAAGTATATTTATAAAAAAATAAATTTAAATATAATAAAAAAATAATATTCATTAGCGACCGATTTCAATTCGGTTGCTATTTTCTCATTAGCGACCGATTTTAATTCGATCACTATTTCAATTTGTAATTCGGTTGTTAAATCGATCGCTAAATGATTTTTTTATTTTAGTATGAAATAACCACGGATTTAGCGACCGAAATTTTGCGACGCAAAATATTGGTCGCTATTTCGGTCGCTATATAAAAAAGTGCAAAATAAATCATATTTTGGTCGCTAAATCGGTTGCTAATTGTGACCGAATTAAAGTGGTCGCTGAATCGGTCGCTAAATGCGACCGAATTAAAGTGGTCGCTAAATCGGTCGCTAATTGCGACCAAAATTAAATCGGTCGCTAATTACGACCAAAATTAAATCGGTCGCTAATTGCGACCGAAAAAATTCGGTCGCTAATTTCGGTGGCTAAATGTGTTTTTTCTTGTAGTGATTGATACTCCCTAGCTAGTTGGCGAAAGCTGCTATGGACAAGAGCCTAGACCACATATCTACTTGGTTAGGGTATGAAATATGACTCTCTCGACTCAGGCTTGGCCTTTCCACTGGAAAAGCCTCCACCATTTGATATAGTCACTTTATTAACACAACTCTCTAGTCTCTCCACAATATTGATATCCTCTACCAAGATTCTAAACTCCCCAATGGACATAAGGACCACTGTCTTGTCCTCTAGCTTATTCATTAATCCCTCCTCAAACTTCCTACATCTCCAAACCTCTAAAGTGATTTGAGTGTAAAACTTGGTTAGGTGTTTGTTAAGTGGTAAAAAGTTGATATAATTATGCCTTGAATTATTATAAAACCACTTAACTTATGTTAATTCTAATATATTTTTCTCTCAATATAGGATGAATTTGAGAATACCTTGATACAAGAGTAAGGAGCATAATTGTCAGCATAATTGGAGTAAAATTGAAAGAAAGAAGAGCGCTTAAGTGAATGAATGATGCAATGCCCGACCCAAATTCTCTTATAAAAAGATAAGTTGTGTTTTGAGAAAAGTAAGCAGTCTTGGAGGAGAGGAGACATGACTACTGTTAGGATTTTGTCTAATCTTCATAAATTCTTCACTTCTTCATCAATTAGAACATTGTAATGGCCAACATGAATGGCTAACTTCATTCTCTAAGGATTCGGTCCACTTCCTTTGAACTCTTTTGTACCATGGTGATATTTTGAGATATTAATATATGCTTTGATGTTGTTATTCTTATCCTCTATGCTTTAGAATGATTTATTCTTGATTGTTTGAGGTATGATTGGAAAATATATCTTGAACCCTAGATCACGGTAAGAATATTTGTTACGTTAATTGTCAGGAATGGAATGAATGTATCAATTGCTTAAACACCCTAACCCTAATGCTGCAAAATCTGTTAATTGTGTGAGGAATCAACATTTATTAGGTTTTCTTATGAATTTCATGTGTGAGGAATCAACATGGATGATTTGAGTAGGTGGCATAAATATTGTTAGGTTAATTGACGTTCTTAATTGACATAGCCATTACAAAAGAGGGATAAGGAAGGAAGTCAATCCTAAGTACCTTTAATTGATATTTTCTCAACAATTTACAGTTTTTTGTCATTTAATTTCAATTCAACTCTTTATGCAAAACTCATTCTGTTTTAATCTACTTAGTAAGCATAAAATTGGGAATTTCCATTGAAACCGTTTCTCGTGGGATCGACTTTTATTTTATCGAAATACTATACTGCAATTGATAATTTTGGTACGCTTGCTAATAATTCAACAAGTATTTCTGGCGCCGTTGCCGGGGAACGATGTTCTTTGAGAATTCTTTGTTTAGCTTATTGAGTATTTTATTTTTATTTCTATTTTTTTATTATTATTATTATCATTATTATCATTATCATTATTATTATCATTATTATTATTATTATTATCATTATTATCATTATTATTATTATTATTATTATTATTATTATTATTATCATTATCATTATTATTATTATTATTATTATTATTATTATTATTATTATCATTATTATTATCATTATCATTATTATCATTATTATTATTATTATTATTATTATTATTATTATTATTATTATCATTATTATTATTATTATCATTATCATTATTATCATTATCATTATTATTATTATTATCATTATTATTATTATTATTATTATTATCATTATCATTATCATTATTATTATTATTATCATTATTATCATTATTATTATCATTATTATTATTATTATTATTATTATTATTTTCATTATTATTATCATTATTATTATTATTATTATTATTATCATTATCATTATTATTATTATTATTATTATTATTATTATTATTATTATTATTATTATTATCATTATCATTATCATTATCATTATCATTATCATTATCATTGTCATTATTATTATTATTATTATTATTATCATTATTATCATTATTATTATTATTTTCATTAGTATTATCATTATCATCATCATTATTATTATTATTATTATTATCATTATTATTATTTAGTTTTTAGTTTGTGCTAATATCTCGTTTGAGTTACTCTTTTGATTTATGCGTTTAAGAGGACATGTATCTTCAGAAGAAGGGAAACTCAAGAACAAACTACAAAAAAATCTGCTAATTCTTCTTTCACACTTGATTTACCAGACCAAATTATAGAAGATATGGAGGAAGAAGGAGCAAATCTGAATTCGAATCCAGATCCAAATATAAATCCAAATATAAATCCAAATCAAAACCCAAATGCAAATCCACCTAGAAGAACTCTTAGAAATTGTGCTATGCAAGCAAGGTCCAAGACATTTTTCCAGCATTGTCATTCCGGATGATCATACATTGCAGATGAATCCAGCTTTCTTAAGCTTGATTAGTGTTCATCAATTCACTGGATTGGATCATGAAGACCCTTATATTCATTTGTCTATTTTTTATGAGTTGATTGGTACCATGGGATTTAGAGCAACAAATCTTGAATCTGCATATTTGATATTATTTCCTTTTTCTTTGGCAGGTAGGGCAAAGGAGTGGCTGAAAGCACATCCTAATCAGAGTTTGACTAATTGGAGTAGTGTAGAAGAGAAGTTTCTGAATAGATTTTTCCCACCATCCCGCTACATCAAAGCAAAATCTGACATCACTTCTTTCAGACAAGGAGCAGATGAACAATTTTGTGAAACATGGGAGAAATTTAAATCATTGTTGAGAAGTTGCCCAAATCATGGATTTGATGACGTTTCTCAGTTGAATATTTTCTATACTGGCTTGCGACATGATGCAAAGATGCTATTAGAGGCTGCAGCAGGAGGATCCATGTTGGATGTAGAAATCGATCATGCCACCAGAATTATTAATGCACTAGCTTTTACAGACCAACAGGCCCAACATGATAGACATCCAATTCAAAGGAAGGGAGTCCTTGAACTTAACACCACAGATGCTCTCTAAGCCCAGAATAAAATTTTGACCCAACAAATTGAAGGATTGAACCAGAAAATAGAGAAATTACCTCAACAAATACACACAATACAAATTATTCCTAATCAACAGATGAGTTGTGATTTGTGTGGAGGTGATCATTCAAATCAACAATGCTCTTATCAAGGCAACATTCAACAAGAAGAAGCTAATTATATGGGGGCCCAAGGTAGCAGTCAAGGTAGACAAGGTAATTTTCCTAATCCCAATAATTATCAGAATAATTTTGCACAAGGATGGAGAGGGAATCAAAATCAGAATCAGAATATTGGGTGGAACCAAGGTGTTAGCTCATCTACTAGACAACATGCATTTCAACAACAGTCATATCAGCAACCCCCATATCAACAACAACAACAACATTATCCTTCATTGCCTGATAAAATAAGTAAATTGGAGGATACTTTAGAAAAATTCATGCAAGACACTATGACTAATCAGAAAAATACTGAGGTAACTTTAGAAAAATTCATGCAAGGCACTATGGTTAATCAGAAAAATACTGAGGCTTCATTTAGAAATATAGAGACCCAGATAGACCAATTGGCTAAGAAATTATCTGAGAAACAACAAGGAGGACAATTTTCAGCTAACACACAAGCCAACCTCAAGGAGCAATGCAATTCAATAACTACAAGGAGTGGAAAAGTTGTAGGTAAGGGGATTGGTGACAATATAGTTTTTGAAGAAGAAGTTTTAGTAAAAGAAGATGAAGAGCAAGAAGATAATAAAGAAAGACATATTTCTAATAAGAAGAACGAAGAGAAGATAGAAAAAGGAGGGAGTCAAAAACCATTTGTAGAGAAGTTACCGTATCCCAAGGCTCCTTCACAGATAGATAAAGAAAGACAGTTTGCAAGATTCATGGATATTTTCAAGCAATTGCAAATTAATATATCATTTGTGGAATCTATGGAGCAAATGCCAACATACGCCAAATTCATAAAAGAGCTCTTAACTAAGAAAAGAAGATTTACTGATGAAACAGTAGAGTTAGAGGCAGGATGCAGTGCTATATTCCAAAAATCATTGCCTCAAAAGTCCAAGGACCCTGGAAGTTTCACTATACCAGTCACAATTGGTGAATTACCGGTGAAAAAATCATTGCTTGATTTAGGGGCCAGTATAAACCTCATGCCATTATCTATGCTCAAAAGAATAGGAGACTTGGAAGTAAAGCCTACAAGAATGACATTGCAGCTAGCTGATAGATCTCTAAAGATTCCTTATGGAGTAGCAGAAGATGTTTTAGTTAGAGTGGACAAATTCATATTTCCTGTTGATTTGTGATTATGGACATGGAGGAAAATGAGGAAGTCCCATTGATCCTGGGAAGACCATTTATGAAGACTGCCAAAGTAATCATAGATGTTGACATGGGCAGGTTGAAAATTAGAAGTGGAGATGATAAAGTTAATTTTAATCTGTTTGAAGCTGTACAACAACCGAAAAACAAGAAAGATTGTCTCATAATAGATACTTTGGATGAATTACTCATCTCAACTGAAAAACAAGATTACAAGCCTGTTGCACAACCACAAAGACATCTTAGTCTGACTATGAAGGAAGTTATTCAAAGAGAGGTACTGAAACCTCCTGAAACAGGTATGATTTATCCAATCTCTAACAGTTGTAAGGTTATTCGCAATGAGAAGAATAAATTCATTCCCACAAGGATAGTCAAGGGATGGAGAATGCGTATATATCACCTTGATCACTCACCTACATGAGCCCTAAAGCAAATAGGCGTCGAGCTAAAGACGTTAAACAAGCGCTCCTGGGAGGCAACCCAATGTTTTGAATTTGTTTTTTTTCTTTTTGTAGTTCACTACAAAAAAAAAACTTATTACCTACGGATAAAAATCCGTAGGTAAATTTTACATTACCTACGGATATTACCTACGGAATTCTACCCGTAGGTAATTATCCATCACCTACGAATATTATCCGTAGGTAATGTAATCCGTGGATAATTCCGTAGGTAATTACCTACGTAATTACTATCCGTAGGTAAAGTGTACATTACCTACAGATATTACCTACGGAATTCTATCCGTGAGTAATTATCCAATACCTACGGAATTACTATCCGTAGGTAAATTATATTAAACTAAAATAATTGTCACTAGCAATAATCGAACCCAGTACCTTGAAGTTGAAAACTGATACTTCAACCACTAAACTATTAGGATATTCTAATAATAATTTACA